AGCAGCAGACGATGCTACAGCGCAGCAGCAGCTGACGGTGGTACAGCAGCAACAGACGACGCTACAGCAGCAACAGACGATGTTACAGCAGCAGCAGACGATGCTACAGCACAGCAGACGATGCTACACACAGCAGCAGCTGACAGTGCAGCAGCAGCAGCAGCTGTACCACCAATAGTAGCGATGGTTGATTGGGTTTTATTATACAACCTGGGCCACTCGGAGACACGCACTCCACTTTCAACTTATCAATGATCTTTTTCTCATCTCTTTGTAATTCTCACCCTTATTGCTGTAGGGTTGGCACTAGAAGCTTTCTTGGGGCCCAGGTCACTTAATTTTCCAGAAAAAGCACCGAAAACACTGTAATAATACGAAATATTCCGATTGTATGTTTGGATGTTACCGCGGAGGCTGGCTGGTAAACAATGCCACCGGCGGAACATGTGAGCGTGGCTCAGGCCGCACATTAGACGCGTCTCGGACGAAAATCGGTGAGCGGGTTTTTAAGCGGTATGTGAGGCAAAATTTTTGCGATTAAAGCAAGCGGTATGCGGATTAATCGCTATGTGATGCCATCGTTATGTGGGGGTCCACTGTAGATCTTAATATTACTGATTGCAAAAAGGAATTGGGAGTTCTGGTTAACAGTGATCTAAAACCAAGACAACAGTGCATAAGTGTTTGCAATAAAGTGAACAGAATCCTTGGCTTTGTAGCAAGAAGCATAAATAATAGAAATCCTCGGGTTGTTCTTCAACTCTATTTGGTTAGGCCTCATTTAGATTATGCTGCACAGTTTTGGTTGCCATATTACAGAATGGATATAAATACACTGGTAAACATACAAAGGAGGACGACAAAGTTGATCCCAGGTATCAGAAATCTTCCCGATGAGGATAGACTGAGGCCCTGAATCTGCACTCTGTAGAAAGGCAAAGAATTAAGGGGCTATGATTCAGGTGTATGAATGGAAAACTGGAATAAATAAAGCGTGCTAAAAATATCTAGCCTAGACAGGACTCACAGCAATGGTTTTAAGTTGGAAAAAAATTCAGATTCAAGAAGGATATAGGAGAGCACTGGTTTGGTAATAGAGTTGTAGATGAGTGGAGCAAACTCCCCAGTACCGTCATAGGAGCTAAAATGTGTAGTTTTAAAAATAGGTTAGATAAATACATAGTGGTGTGGGTGGTGGGGAGTTGGACCTAACCAGCTTGTGCTACTAGATCAATTGCCGTGTTCCTTCCTTAAGCGGATGTGACCTGACCTGACTAGGTTGGGTTGTTGGCTTAAGCCGATAGGAGACTTGGACCTACCTCGCATGGGCCAGTAGGCCTGTTGCAGTGTTCCTTCTTTCTTATGTTCTGATGAACTTAATGAAGCATCAGTTTTGTACACTTCAAAATAATAAAACAAATATATTGCCTCCCAGGTTGTCACCTCCCCGGGTTGTCACCTCCCAGGTTGTCACCTCCCAGGTTGTCACCTCCCAGGTTGTCGCCTCCCAGGTTGTCACCTCCCAGGTTGCCGCCTCCCAGGTGCCGCCTCCCAGTTGCCGCCTCCCAGGTTGTCGCCTCCAGGTTGTCGCCTTTCCCCGGTTGTCGCCTCCCAGGTTTCGCCTCCCAGGTTTTTTCGCCTCCAGGTTTGTCGCCTCCCAGGTTGTCGCCTCCCAGGTTGTCCGCCTCCCAGTTGTCGCCTCCCCGTTGTTGCCTCCCAGGGTTTTCGCCTCCCAGGTTGTCGCCCCCCCAGGCTGTGCCTCCCAGGCTGTCGCCTCCAGGTTGTCGCCTCCCAGGTTGTCGCCTCCCAGGGTTTTCGCCTCCCAGGGTTTTTGCCCTCCCAGGTTGTCGCCTCCCAGTTGTCGCCCCCCAGGTTGTCGCCTCCCAGGTTGCCGCCTCCCAGGTTGCCGCCTCCCAGGTTGCCGCCTCCCAGGTTGTCGCCTCCCAGGGTGCCGCCTCCCAGGGTGCCGCCTCCCAGGTTGCCGCCTTCCAGGTTGCCGCCTCCCAGGTTGCCGCCTCCCAGGTTGCCGCCTCCCAGGTTGCCGCCTCCCAGGTTGTTGCCTCCCAGGTTGCCGCCTCCCAGGTTGTCGCCTCCCAGGTTGTCGCCTCCCAGGTTGTCGCCTCCCAGGTTGCCGCCTCCCAGGTTGCCGCCTCCCAGGTTGTCGCCTCCCAGGTTGCCGCCTCCCAGGTTGCCGCCTCCCAGGTTGTCGCCTCCCAGGTTGCCGCCTCCCAGGTTGTCGCCTCCCCGGTTGTCGCCTCCCAGGTTGTCGCCTCCCAGTTTGTCGCCTCCCAGGTTGTCGCCTCACCGGGTTTCGCCTCCCAGGGTTTCCGCCTCCCAGGTTGCCGCCTCCCAGGTTGCCGCCTCCCAGGTTGCCGCCTCCCAGGTTGTCGCCTCCCAGGTTGTCACCTCCTGGAAAGAATGACACATAGTCACAACAGGTAAATAAAACTGAAAACTTATTGACTGAGTAGAATGAACAATAAACAAAGAAAGGTGCACCACTTAGTTTCATCTTACTAATTGAAAAAGCCTTAGAGTACTATAACACAGTGTGTGATGAGGAACAAACACTTGAACAAGTGTGTTTAGCACTGGCTGCTTCCACAACTTTAAGTTACATAATAGTAAGTTTTCTGGTGACAGTGCTTCAGCTGATCACACAACAGCAAATAAGTTCCCTGATGAATTGCAGAAAATTATTTCTGAGGATGGCTACCAGCCACAGCAAGTGTTTAAATCTGATTAGACAAGTGTGTTTTAGAAGATAATGCCAACAAGATCTTACTTCATTTAGCAAGAGAAAAGTTCTCCAGGATTCAAGGCAGCAAAGGATCACTTCACCTTGATTCTTTACAGTAATGCATCAGGTAATTTTAGGTTTAGGCTCTTGGTTATTTACCGCTCCAAGACTCCTCGTGCTTGGAAAGGTGTAGAGCAAAGCACCTTACCAGTGATTTGGAGGTCAAACCAGTCAGAATGGATGACAGAGGAAGTATTTATTGACTGGTTTAAACATCACTTTGTTCCTGAAGTCAAGTTTTATCTGCACAGCAAGAACCATGCATTCAAGGTTCTCTTCACTCCTGATAATTCCTGTACTCATCCAGAAGCTTTGCTGGATGTGAACCCACATATTAAAGTTGTATTTTTACCTCTAAATACAACATCTTTAATACAATCACTGGATCATGGAGTTATTAAGTCATTCAAGTGTAACTACACAAGTGATGAAAAAACTTGTTGAATCAGCAAACTCAGACTCCAACCTGGCAGTACCAAACTTCTGGAATAAATATAACTTTGCAGATGCCATCAGCTATGCTTGAAGTGCATGGAATGAAGTCCCACAATCAACATTAAAAACAGACTGGGGAAAGTTATGGCCTTCTGTAGTTAATTCTTTCACTTGTTTTCTCTCACTTGAGAGTCAGGTGCTGGAAATAGTTCAGTTGGCAAGGATATTACCAGGTGATGACTTTGATGATATGCAGGAGGATAAACCATACCCCCGGCTGGGATTGAACCCGCGGTCATAGAGTCTCAAAACTCCGGCAGTGAAGGGACTTGAGCTAGAGTTCGTCACGGCCACGCTAGCTGGAGATTTGTCTGTAAAAACTTGCATTTGTGGTCACAGTGGTGCCTGTGCTAACCTTCCTATGGTGTAGAAATATACCTAGCTGGATGAATCTTATTGTGGCTAGCTGGTCTAATGGCTAACGCGACGGGCTGGAGTTTTGAGACTCTATGACCGCGGGTTCAATCCCGGCCGGGGGTATGGTTTGTTTGCAATCGTGTCATTACGATTTCTTGAGTCATGCAGGAGGATGATGTGAAGGAGCTCCTAGATGATGATGATGATGATGATGATGACAGAAGTCCAGAGGAAATGTTGACAGAGTTCAGTGCACAGATACAAGAGAGACAGATAACAGAGGAAGATGAAGAAGATCCTGAAGAAAAACGTTTAACATTGCAGTAGTTACATGAGCAGTTCCATGTTGCTGCTAAACTAGCAGACTTTTTCACTGAAGAGGACCCTGACAAATCTAGAAGCAGTGCTCTGAAACAGTGTCTAGAGCAGCTGATGATACCTTACTGTCAGCTGTGTAAAGTACTGCAGAGTAAAAGAAACCAGAGATACACTACAGAATTTATCCATTCTCCAGTAAAACCATTGACTTTAGTACCAGAACCCCAACCATCCACTTCAGCTGACAACCACCATCCACCTGAGCTGACAATCTATAACCATTCACTTCAGCTGGCAGTCTACAACCATCTACCTCAGATGACAACAGCCATCCACCTCAGCTGACAATCAGCAACCATCCACCAGCTCAGCTGATAACCATCCACCACCTCAGCTGACAATAGCCATCCACCACCTCAGCTGATAACAACCGTCCACCACCTCAGTTGACAACAACCATCCACCACCTCATTCCAGTAGAGCCACAGCATCCCTCATCGACAAACACCAGCAAACACAGTTTATAGTAAGAAATAATATTTCTGTTACATTTGGAGACAAAAAAAATTGTTGTTTGTTTTTTTGGGAACATAATGCTATTTTTCTTTAAGTTCTTCATATTATTTATACAATCTCATCTTACACTAAATTTTCAGGAATGTAACTACTGTGTTAATTGATGGTCTGCTGTATATATATGATGGAATGATCACAGACAAGCAATATCAGATGCAGAACAACCACATGAGAGAGTTGAATGGTAGCTGTAGGCCTTTCGTGTTGCAGCCAACACTCTTTGTAAAGAGCTTTCAATGTTCCAAAGATAATAAGATCAACAGCATCACGGTCAGCAGGTGATATTGCACTGTGCAATATTAACCACATTGATAATGTGAGAAATCGTTAAAGTGCCTGTAATTTCACAATTTTTCACTTTATATTATGCTTTCAATGAGTCTTGCGAGTTTTTACTTGTGGAGGCTTACCCTAGGCCAGGTTCCTAATGTTTATATATTTTGTGTCTTTACAGATTTCGCTGTCGTTTGACTCATGGTGGGCTGAGGTTAGCGACCCAGAGAAGGGTTTCTATGGTTGGTTGTGTTCGTTGCTGCACGTAGAGGAGTGTGCACCATATGAGACAGTTGTCTTGATGACTGAGCCCCTGGATGCCAAGATGGTGCACTCCACCGTCTAGTGTGCTCGTGCACGGCGACAAGTGTGCTTCCCTCAAGGCCAACGTCTCATTGACAAGTGCACCTCAGTCTAGAGTGTTGACGAGTGCACTTCCTTCAAGACTGTCCTCTTGTCAATTAGGGTGCTTCAGTCTAGACTGTTGACAATTGCTCTTCCTTCAAGACCGTCATCTACATGACCAAACTCATCGATGCTACAATCTACATTCTTCCGTGTAATTTTTACAGCCCTAATGTTTATGAGGAAATAAACTGGAACAAGAATTTGAATCGTACCATAGTTGTAGCATTTATAAAAATGGACTTGAATGAGAATTTGAATTGTACCGTAGTTATTGTAGTATTTATAAAAGTAGTCAAATGAGAATTTGAATTGTACCAGAGTAGTTTAGCATTTTTAAAAGTAACTTTTGATGTAACTTGAGAATACAATAGTGTACATTCCACCCGTATATAATTCCGAGAATAATTTCAGCAAATCTGCTAATTCATGGGTCAGATTTTGCAGATTTTTCCTGGCTGCCAATTTGAAATGATTCGCAGTTTGGCCGGTGCTCGTGTTTCCCAGTCAGCGATTGTGATTCCCTTGACAGATTGTGAGTGACATTTGTTCCAGTTGCTCAATCATCCATAACAGATTGATACTTTTTGTTTAAAAGCAAATTTAAATTGAATTTTTGTGAATGTTTTGTGTTGACAAAGAGGTGTGAGCCTATTGTCTAATTCCACTATTATTGTGATATTCACACACACATGCACATGCTCTCTCTCTCTCTCTCTCTCTCTCTCTCTCTCTCTCTCTCTCTCTCTGTCTCTGTCTCTCTCTCTGTCTCTCTCGCTCTGTCTCTCTCTCTCTCTCTCTCTGTCTCTCTCTCTGTCTCTCTCTGTCTCTCTCTCTCTGTCTCTCTCTCTCTGTCTCTCTCTCTCTGTCTCTCTCTCTCTGTCTCTCTCTCTCTCTCTCTCTGTCTCTCTCTCTCTGTCTCTGTCTGTCTCTCTCTGTCTCTCTCTCTGTCTGTCTCTCTCTCTGTCTCTCTCTCTGTCTCTCTCTCTCTGTCTCTCTCTCTGTCTCTCTCTCTCTCTGTCTCTCTCTCTGTCTCTCTCTCTCTGTCTCTCTCTCTCTGTCTCTCTCTCTGTCTCTGTCTCTCTCTCTGTCTCTGTCTCTCTCTGTCTCTCTCTGTCTCTCTCTGTCTCTCTCTCTGTCTCTCTCTGTCTCTCTCTCTGTCTCTCTCTCTGTTCTCTCTCTCTGTCTCTCTCTGTCTCTCTCTCTGTCTCTCTCTGTCTCTCTCTGTCTCTCTCTCCTCCTGTCTCTCTCTCTCTCTCTCTCTCTCCTCTCTCTCTCTCTCTCTCTCTCTCTCTCTCTCTCTCTCTCTCTCTCTCTCTCTCTCTCTCTCTCTCTCTCTCTCTCACACACACACACACACACACACACACACACACACACACACACACACACACACACACACACACACACACACACACACACACATACACACACACACACTCACACACTTACGTGTGTGTAAAATAGGTCCAGATCTTTCGCACTGTTTGGTGCTTCTTCAGGGGCTGTGTATATATATCTCAGAGAACATATGCAGTATTGTTTAGTTATTTAAGATCCTGTTTTATGTTATATTGATTTTGTTGTGTGTATATATATATATATTTTTGTCTTAAAACAGTCATTTTGAACCAAACAGAGCTGAGATTTATTTATTGGGGATGAGAGCTGTAGTAGTTACTGTTGTTGAGGTAGTGAGTCCCTCAGTCTTGTAGAACTGTACACAGTGGTAGTTGAGGTAGTTAGTCCCTCAGTCTTGTAGAACTGTACACAGTGGTAGTTGAGGTAGTTAGTCCCTCAGTCTTGTAGAACTGTACACAGTGGTAGTTGAGGTAGTTAGTCCCTCAGTCTTGTAGAACTGTACACAGTGGTAGTTGAGGTAGTTAGTTCCTCAGTCTTGTAGAACTGTACACAGTGGTAGTTGAGGTAGTTAGTCCCTCAGTCTTGTAGAACTGTACACAGTGGTAGTTGAGGTAGTTAGTCCCTCAGTCTTGTAGAACTGTACACAGTGGTAGTTGAGGTAGTTAGTCCCTCAGTCTTGTAGAACTGTACACAGTGGTAGTTGAGGTAGTTAGTCCCTCAGTCTTGTAGAAATGTACACAGTGGTAGTTGAGGTAGTTAGTCCGTCTTATGTAGATAATTGTACATATTTCTGTACTCTGTGCCAACATGTACCCCACTAGGAGTACAGGAAGTTTAAAATGAATAGTACTTGACCCCATTAATGGTTTTAAAAAAACATTAATGAGTAATGACCCCATTAATGATTCTAATGACCCCAGTAATAGGTCTAATGACCCCATTAATGAGTCTAATGACCGAATTAATGGGTCTAGTGACCCAATTAATGGGTCTAATTACCCCATTAATTAGTCTAATGACACCATTAATGGGTCTGTTGACCACATTAATGGGTCTGATGACCACGTTAATGGGTCTGATGACCACATTAATGGGTCTGATAACCACATTAATGGGTCTGATGACCACATTAATGGGTCTGATGACCACATTAATGGGTCTAATGCATCCCTTTATAAGTATTTGTTCATAGTGTGGTTGTATACATAGATGTATGTAGCTGATGTATGTCTTAACAATTTCAACCAGAATTGAACAAGTTCACTTATGTAAAATGCTTGTTTATAGAGGAACTTTATAAGGGAGGTCACTGTATTAATGTAGGTATGGTACTGTACCATCCTCACTCATCAGATTCAGATTTCAGATTCATTTATTTCTTTGCAAGTAGTACATTGAGAGTACATTCCAGAGTACAGTTACTGTACCACCACCACCAGTACTGTAACATTCTCACTCATCCTACAGAGTACAGTTACTGTACCACCACTAGTACTGTAACATTCTCACTCATCCTACATAGTACAGTTTACTGTACCACCACTAGTACTGTAAATTCTCACTCATCTCTACAGAGTACAGTTACTGTACCACCACTAGTACTGTAACATTCTCACTCATCCTACAGAGTACAGTTACTGTACCACCACTAGTACTGTAACATTCTCACTCATCCTACGGAGTACAGTTACTGTACCACCACCAGTACTGTAACATTCTCACTCATCCTACATAGTACAGTTACTGTACCACCACTAGTACTGTAACATTCTCACTCATCCTACGGAGTACAGTTACTGTACCACCCCACACAGTACTTGTAACATTCTCACTCATCCTACAGAGTACAGTTACTGTACCACCACTAGTACTGTAACATTGTCACTCATCCTACAGAGTACAGTTACTGTACCACCACCAGTACTGTAACATTCTCACTCATCCTACAGAGTACAGTTACTGTACCACCACTAGTACCATAACATTCTCACTCATCCTACAGAGTACAGTTACTGTACCACCACTAGTACCATAACATTCTCGCTCATCCTACAGAGTACAGTTACTGTACCACCACCAGTACTGTAACATTCTCACTCATCCTACATAGTACAGTTACTGTACCACCACCAGTACTGTAACATTCTCACTCATCCTACAGAGTACAGTTACTGTACCACCACCAGTACTGTAACATTCTCACTCATCCTACGGAGTACAGTTACTGTAGCACTACCAATACTGTAACATTCTCACTCATCCTACAGAGTACAGTTACTGTACCACCACTAGTACTGTAACATTTTCACTCATCCTATAGAGTACAGTTACTGTACCACCACTAGTACTGTAACATTTTCACTCATCCTATAGAGTACAGTTACTGTACCACCACTAGTACTGTAACATTCTCGCTCATCCTACAGAGTACAGTTACTGTACCACCACTAGTACTGTAACATTTTCACTCATCCTACAGAGTACAGTTACTGTACCACCACCAGTACTGTAACATTCTCACTCATCCTACAGAGTACATTTACTGTACCACCACCAGTACTGTAACATTCTCACGCATCCTACAGAGTACAGTTACTGTACCACCACTAGTACTGTAACATTCTCACTCATCCTACAGAGTACAGTTACTGTACCCCACTAGTACTGTAACATTCTCACTCATCCTACAGAGTACAGTTACTGTACCACCACTAGTACTGTAACATTCTCGCTCATCCTACAGAGTACAGTTACTGTACCACCACTAGTACTGTAACATTCTCACTCATCCTACAGAGTACAGTTACTGTACCACCACCAGTACTGTAACATTCTCACTCATCCTACAGAGTACATTTACTGTACCACCACCAGTACTGTAACATTCTCACGCATCCTACAGAGTACAGTTACTGTACCACCACCACCAGTACTGTAACATTCTCACTCATCCTACAGAGTACAGTTACTGTACCACCACTAGTACTGTAACATTCTCACTCATCCTACAGAGTACAGTTACTGTACCACCACCAGTACTGTAACATTCTCACTCATCCTACAGAGTACATTTACTGTACCACCACCAGTACTGTAACATTCTCACGCATCCTACAGAGTACATTTACTGTACCACCACCACCAGTACTGTAACATTCTCACTCATCCTACAGAGTACAGTTACTGTACCACCACCACCAGTACTGTAACATTCTCACGCATCCTACAGAGTACAGTTACTGTACCACCACCAGTACTGTAACATTCTCACTCATCCTACAGAGTACAGTTACTGTACCACCACTAGTACTGTAACATTCTCACTCATCCTACAGAGTACAGTTACTGTACCACCAGTAGTACTGTAACATTCTCGCTCATCCTACAGAGTACAGTTACTGTACCACCACTAGTACTGTAACATTCTCACTCATCCTACAGAGTACAGTTACTGTACCACCACTAGTACTGTAACATTCTCACTCATCCTACAGAGTACAGTTACTGTACCACCACCAGTACTGTAACATTCTCACTCATCCTACAGAGTACATTTACTGTACCACCACCAGTACTGTAACATTCTCACTCATCCTACAGAGTACAGTTTAATGGATATAACATTTACAACCCATACATCACACCCATGTATCTAAATGCATTCATCTCCTCCTCCTCTTCCTTTTCCCAGTCTCTTTTCCAATCTTTCAATTCCTCAGTTCTTCGTTTCTCCCACCCCCTTGTTCCTTCCTATGTTCAGTTTTTATTTCCTACCCTCACACAGCTTACCAAATTTCATTTTTTTTTCAACAGATCGAGAATCAGCTGTTTCAGCTGTAACTGTCAGCCAAATTGATTATTATTCAGTTTTCTAATTGCTTCTAGGCCTCTTCCATATAAAAAATAATTAAACAGCCATGGAGACATCCACAGGATGGCCTAAGGCCTGATTCAGAGAGAAAATTATCTATTTCTTTCCTGTATTATCTAACTTGGGTCTGTCTATCAATGTAAAGCATCCATAACTCCTTGAAATAATCTATCAACTCCACACACTTGTAATATCTACCACCCTGCTCTACTGTCTACCCTGTCATTATCTATCCCCCATCTACCTGGCCTCAAGCCTTCTTGTAGTCCTACTTAAATATCAGCACTAGGCCTACACATATCTAGAGAAGGACCAATATTCTAATTATCTTATAAAGCTCCACTGTATACAGTCAGCTCTTATAAAGCTCCACTATATACAACCAACTCTCTTATAAAGCTCCACTATATACAGCCAACTCTCTTACAAAGCTCCAGTATATACAGCCAACGCTCTTATAAAGCTCCACTATATACAGTCAACTCTCTTATAAAGCTCCACTATATACAGCCAACTCTCTTATAAAGCTCCACTATATACAGCCAACTCTATTATAAAGCTCCACTATATACAGTCAGGTCTTATAAAGTTTCTCTTTATACAGTCTGTTCTCTTATAAAGTTCCCCATATGCTGAGTATATACAGAGGAGCTTTATAAGAGAGCTCACTGTATGCTAGAGCTCTGGTACAGTCTTACTCTAGTGTTTTGTAATTTCTTTTTGTACCTCTTAATAAAATGTTTATCCTGAGTCCATGTTTGCTGCCCTGGGTAGATGAGGTGTAGGTGTGGGTAGATGAGGGGTAGGTGTGGGTAGATGAGGGGTAGGTGTTGGTAGATGAGGGGTAGGTGTGGGTAGACGAGGGGTAGGTGTGGGT